CACACACACACACACACACACACACACACACACACACACACACACGAGGGCTCTAATACACACACACACCTGTTTCAGTTGCTTTATAAGCCACCTCACACCCTAGAGCTTCCCCACCCATGCTGCCCAGACCCAAGGGTAAAGAGGATTAAAGAAGGCCTGTGTCTTCTAGCTCTTCGCATGGTAAGTGGGAGGGAGGGGAAGCCTTGGGCAATGGGGAAAACCTGGAATGGCTCACAAAGCTGGAGTCTTGATTCTCCAGGCCTCTGTGGCCTTTCCATTGTGAGGACACGTGCTCTCATCTACAACCCCATCTCCCCAACACATTCACTCATTGCTTCCAGCCTGTGGGTTTTAGAGGCAGAAGACAAGTAAGCGCAGTCATTCCCTACCTCCCTTTCTGGAAGGCTTCCAGAATATTCCATACCCAGTTATCGGAGGTGCTAATATCTGAGGAGCTCTGGTAACAGAACTCACTGTGGCCAAGACATCTACACCAAAGGAGATAACCATCTTATCATTAACTACAGGGCTGCAATTAGCTGATTGTCCTCTGCTCCGAGGTGGGGGAGGTGGCTTGAACCTGACCGGGTTCTGCTTTTGCAGGTTTAGCTAGGACATCTGAGGTGTGACCGACCCCAAAGCTGGAAGACTCTTGGTTTTAGTGAACACAATTAGAGTCTGTCAAATGTGAGCCTCTATAAACAGCTCTACTAGAATCACATGGGAAAGGGTTTTTTTTGGTCTTGTTTAATTTTAAAGATTTTATTTATTTATTTGAGAGAGCGTGTGTGTAAACGAGGAGGGGCAGAGAGAAAATCTGAAGCAGAGTCCGCACTCAGCGCAGAGCCGGATACGGGGTTCGATCTCACAACCTTAAGATCATGCCCTGAGCCAAAACCAAGAGTCGGATGCTTCACTGACTAAGCCACCCAGATGCCCCGATGTTGGAAGGTTTATTGAAAATGCAGGCTCACAGGCGGGCTCTTCAATAGGCTGCCTGACTCAGCATCTCTGGGATAAGGCCCAGGAACTGGCATTTTATTTTGTTTTGTTTATTTAATTTTTTAAGATTTATTTATTTGAGAGAGAGAGCAGGGAGAGGGACAGAGGGAGAAGGAGAGAATCCAAGCAGACTCCTTGCTGAGTGGGGAGCCTGACACGGGGCTCCATCCCATGACTCTGAGATCATGACCTGAGCCGAAATCAAGGAACCAGTATTTTAAACACATTCACTGGGTTCCGGTGGTGCTCAGTGAAGTTTGAGAACCATTACTTAAAAGCCTGGAAAAGCTTCACCAAGCCCTAAGTCAGAGAGTGCCAGGCCCAGCCACATCCCCAAACTCTCAGGAAGCTTGACACCCTTAGAGCCGTTAAGTAGTCCCAACCTCCAGAAGCGTTTTGGCAAAGATAAGTGTTTAGAGAGAGCCACACCTTTGTTTAGTATCCATTCTGTGTAGTTTGTCACTCACTTCCCAGGTTAGCACCCAACGACCCCTGGCTGTTTCCAGAGAGGTCAGACCATCTTGAGAAGAGATGGCTTTTACCTCCCCGGAGGAATATGTTCCAGTTTAGAGGATTTACAAGCGAGACTATTTTGAAAAAGTGTCCGGTCTCCCCCAGGTGGTGTTTAAAGGCTTTGGATGTGTGCGATCTGTCATCCATCAGATCAGTGTGGTCAGTATAATTACCATTTCTGTAAAGGCAGAACTGTCTGCTTTCTGCACTGTGACTAAAGGAGAGGCAGGGAGTAAAGCTTGGTTGAGAAGTTGGGCCATTGTCTGGTACTGAGAATGTGTGAAACTTTCTGGGGTAACTGTGTCTTCGTTAGGGGCATGGAAAGGGTTGAGAGGCTAGGGCCGCATGCTCTGGAATGCAGTGTATCCTTCTGGAATGGCCTTTGGTCCTGAGTTCCAACGGCTGTAATGCACTGGGAAATTTTCACGACTGAGACCCTTTTATGGGAGCCCCTGCCTCCGGGTAGAGTAGTTCTGCTTTTGTTTACCTTATGTACCTACTTATATATTGATTTTCTGTATACAGTCCTGTGTCTTTTTCTGTGAAATGTAACACCCAGTAACAACCCATACAGTAAACACCTGTGTTCACTGTGCAAGTCAAGAAACATTCCTGGAACTCCCCTCCCCCCCCACCTGAACTCCTCTGCTTTTAGGGCACCTGGGGGGCTCAGTTGGTTAAGTGACTGCCTTCGGCTAGGGTCATGATCCTGGAGTCCCGGACTGAGTCCCTCCTGGGGCTCCCTGCTCAGCGGGGAGTCTGCTTCTCCCTCTGACCCTCCCCCCCTCATGTCCTCGCTCGCTCGCTCTCAAATAAATAAATAAAATCTTAAAAAAAGAGCTTTTAAAGTGCTAAAAACCTAACTCTTCTACAGTGAGCGCCTATCATATATTTCACTTAATTATGCTGGAGGTTAGGACAGGCAGACCTGCTGCCTAGTCAGTCAAAGAGCTGGATACAAAGAGACCCAGAACTGGTTACTGCCCTGCCATTAGTGCAGAACTGGGTAATGTTCTACAGGACCATAAAACCATAAACTTTGGGAATATCTTCGCCACAGGCAGAAATGCTTTACATTTCTGTCAGTGAAAAGTAATTAGCAACATGTATTCTGTAAGTTAGCTTCAGTCTTTAGAGGCTGGGCCTACTCGGTAGTAAATAGTAACGTCAAACAAAAATTCCATGCCCAGGGTCAAATGACCAGGAGGCAGGCTCGTGGAATAACCTGAGTGTAATTTTTGAGAGCATGTGCTGTGCTTTCTTTTTTCTAATTTTATTTCATTTTTTAAAGATTTTATTTATTTATTTGGGAGAGGGCACAAGAGGGGTGAGGGGCAAAAAGAGAAGCAGACTCCCCACTGAGCAGGGAGCCCGATGCGAGGCTCGATCCCCAGACTCTGGGATCATGACCTGAGTGGAAGGCAGACACTTAACCAATGGAGCCTGGGGCCGCCCCTCTTTTTTCTAATTTTAATATGTAACTATATATTACTAAATGCCATAGTTTTCTTTTTCCTGACTTTAAACATATACTAGGTATTCTTTTTGTGTCTTTTTTTTTTTTAAGATTTTATTTATTTGTTTGACAGACAGCGAGAGAGGGAACACAAGCAGGGGGAGTGGGAGAGGGAGAAGGAAGCCCCCCGAGGAGCAGGGAGCCCGATGTGGGGCTCGATCCCAGGACCCTGGGATCGTGACCTGAGCCGAAGGCAGACACTTAACGACTGAGCCACCCAGGCGCCCTTTTTGTGTCTTCCTTTGGTCAACACTGGGTTTAAAGATTCATGTACATATTTGCACGTAGCTATAGGTCATTCTTTTTCATTGCCAAATAGTGTTCCATTTAATGCTTATACCACTGTTTATCAACTCTGGTGTTGGACTTGTGATTACTTCCACACGCTCTGGATGTCCCCATATTTCCTGGTGTTCACGTGGAGTGGAATTGCCGGGTCTTAGAGTTTACGATCCTTCTATCTTACCAGATAATGCTGATCTATTTTTCAAGTGGCTGTACTGATTTATTCTGTCCGCAGTGATGAGTTTCCATTGCTCAGCATCCTTAGACTTATTCGCTTTAGCCATTTTGATTGTGTGTAATGGTATCTTCTTGTGGTTTTAACTTGCATTTCTCTGATGACTAATGAAGGTGAACACAGATTCACATTTGTTTAAAAGTATATATGTGGTTAGTCTGTGATAGGGAGCAGTATTACCTGGTAGCTGAGATGTAAGGACGCAGTGTGAGAACTGGAGTCCGCTAACCCACCAGTTACCCTCCCCTGAGTGTCGGTTTCCCCATCTATAAAATGGGGGGTGATAGTGATACATAGTAGTAGAGCTGGCTGAGAAAAGGAAATGAATAATCCATGTAAGGGCACAAAATCAGCCCTCAGAAAGTGGGAGACATTGTTATAAAAAAAAATAGACTCTGGCTGGTGAGTTGATGATTCCATTCAGAGCCTATGTTCCCTTTTGGACCATGATATAGAATCATGTGGGAACGTTGTGCAGTGTCAAACCTTTGTTTTCCATCACAGTCAGGAGAGCAGGGGTTCAGAAAATAGAACGCTGGCTAGCAGAGAAAATGGGTTTCTTTATTTAGCTGTGGAATGGACCTTCCACTAGTCATTCCTGAGTCCTGGCTAGCAGGAGCCTGGGCCTCTCAACCCATGTGCACTTGGACCTTCTGGGCATAGAACAGGGTGCTCGGGGGCCCACGACAGTTCTTTATTTTTTTTTTAAGATTTATTTATTTATTTGAGAGAGACGGAGAGAGGGGAAGAGAGAGAGAGGGAGGGAGGGCAGAGGGAGAGAAGCTTTCAAGCAGACTCCACGCTGAGTGCAGAGCTGACACAGGGGCTCGATCCCATGACCCATGAGATCATGACCTGAGCCGAAACCAAGAGTCAGACGCTAAACCGACTGAGCCACCCAGGTGCCCTTGACCGTTCTTAAGCTGAGGCCCTGGTGACACCTCTGGGCTTATGGTGACCCCCATTCAGGGCTCTTGGAAGATCAAACTCTGCCGACTATGGAGCAGGGACCAGCCAGACCCCTGGAGTCTGGAAAATGTTTCTTTCCCTTTCAGATATGCAAACTCCTTTGAGCGTGCCTATTTGCTTCTCACACCATTTGGTGGGTCGGCAAAGAAATAACACAATTTTCTCATTTGCTGGGAAGGGAGGGAGAGGAAGTGGGGAGTGGTGGGGCCTATCCCAGTTAGCCTAGGCAGAGGGGCTGTGCCCTGCTTGTCCCTGCTGCGCTGGCTCTTCTTCCCTCAAAGTTAGGGTGACCTCGTGGACATCGTCCCTGTTCGAGTGAGAGGCACGCTACCCACGTTTATTCCAGAACAATAGACATGAAGTAGGACGGGGGGGGGGCTTGGGCATGTGGTCACTCTGCTCCATGCCTGTCCCCAGGAGAGGGCCTATCTAGCGGTGACTGTGTCCCTATGTCACCAGCCTCAGCCCTTCCTGAGCAATGAAAGCTCTGTCTTGGGAAGTCATTGAACTTCTGAGCACGTTTTCCTGTTCTGTAAAATGGGAATTAAAGTGTACCTGTCCAGCTTTTTTTTCTAGGGTGATTATCACCGGGGCCAGAGGAGATAATGCTCAGAGAGCCTTCGTGCGCTTGGTGTGAGTCACTGAGCAAATGGGAAGGTTATTAATATTAACAGTAACAGGTGGTATGTACGTCGGTGGCGGTGGGCAGGGTTCTTCTGTGTTCTGGCCGCCACAACTGCATCCACCTGGGGCAGCTGGCCCTAGTTTTATAAATACCTACTCCTGTGTAGTGGCTTTGTAAGGACCAAGAGCGATTCTACCAGCCACGTGTGGAAACATATGCATGTCCATACTTGCTTTCAGCTCTCGAGTCTGGTTTGGTTGCTAGACCTGGTCCGGAGCCTCAGGACCTCCTGGGAACAGATGGTACCAGAGCCTTGTTTACAGATCAGGAAACTGAGGCCCAGAGGGGTAGGGACTCTCGCAGGGTCACACTGATGACCTTCCAGGGGTGAGGCATGGGAGGGCCACTGCGCCTGTGCTGAGGGACTGAGTCTGTAGGACACTTGAGTGGGGGTAGCTCTAGGCATTGGCTCCTTGGTACAGAAAAGGAGCTGGGACCGATGTACCCTCTTCCCCAGGGCTTCCTGTCACTCCTTCATATCCAGAGAAGCTGGGCCGCCAGCATTAGGGACACCTGTCCCTCCAGTGCAGGCCTCTGTCCGCTTATACACGTGCACTCCCCTTCCCCTGGTCACTAGCTCCTGGGGTCAGGTCTCTTTTCTTCCACAGAAAGTAAACACAGGAAGCTGACCCTTCCAACCCCTAGGACAAAAGTCGGAAGGGCAATTGCCTTGTGAGCCTCAAGACCTCAGGAGGGGTGGCCCCTCCTCCTTGTCACGCCCCCCCCCCCAGTGGACAGGGGTCACTGAGGGAGTGGGGCTCAGGGACACTCGCCTTTTGCTCTTGTCTTTGGAATCTCAGAGCAGGGCACTGGCCCTGTGTCTGAAAACTTCACTCCTGGGTGCCCTTCTGAGTAGGAGTTGAGGGATCCCATAGGTTTTCAGTCTGGCCAAGGCTGGCTGCCTCCCCCTGAGGAATGGCGCTCAGCCCATCTCGCCATTTGGGGGTGGGTCCCTACTGGGGCCCAGAGGGAAGGGGCAGGGAAAGGAGGGACTGGTGGTGACCCAGACCACGCCCGCAGACCTTTAGCCCAGCTACTAAGTGTTAGCCGTGCCTGGCCGAGTGTTAACTCTTGCCCTCCTTGCAAAGCGAATGCCAACAAGTGGGAGAGAAGGCAGCAGAGAAAGTGGGAGCGGATGCCAAAAGGGACTGCCCTGGTTTGGGACAGCTCCCATCAGGCCTTGGGGCACAGAATCACTGGTTCCTTCTGCTCCAGAGAACAGGGCAGGCTTTGCTCGCCTCCCTTCCTTGATGAGAAGGGAGGACCCCACGTTGCTTGTCCTCCAGCAGAGGACAAGGGGTCCTCAGCAGAGCTCTGTGAGGTCACGCCCACAGAGGCCAAATTGCCTCATGATTAAGCACATGGGCCTCAGAATCTGCATGATTCGGGGCGACTCACTCAGCTTGTCCGTGCCTTCGTTTCCTTCTTGTTAGACGGGGACTGTCATATACCCTCTTTTGGGTGCCGACAGGCTAAAATGAGCCTGTGAGGTAGAACGCCTAGCGCAGTGCCTGGCGCCCAACAGGTACTCAGCAGGCGTCCCTGTCCTTCTCCCGCAACGCCTGAGGTAGACACTGATGTCCCGTATTACAGAGGTGGAGACTGAGGCCCAGCAAGGTTAAGTAGCTTGTCCAAGGGCACACAGGAACCTGGTCCCCTGTGCCTGTAGCCCTTGGGGAGTCTCTCCTCTCCTGGGAGATCTTAAGTGGCCACAGGAAGGGAGCTTTGCTTGGTTTGCTGAGTCCTTCACCCAGCACTTTCTGCCGCTGCAGATAAAATACCACGAGGAGTTTGAGAAGAGCCGCATGGGCCCCAGCGGGGGCGAGGGCCTGGAGCCTGAGCGCCGAGATGCCCAGGAACGGCAGCAGCTGCCCCACCACATCCCAGCCAGCGCCCCGGGTGAGCGTGAGGCCTGTGGAGGGGATGGACCTGAGAGCAGGCCCACTGTGGGATGGGGAGGAGGTTGCAGAGAATCCTTGTGCACAGGCACACCCGTGTGTGTGCTTGCACAAGCCCTCAGGCCCCATCCCAGCGGGGGTTGGGGGGTGGGGGGTGGGGGCACCATGAGCACCGGGGTCAGGGTCCGTGGTGGGTCCCAGCGTGTTGGTGGAGATACAGCCCCTGTTGCAGAGTATGCAACACCAGCAGATGTGCACGCCCAGGCAGATGAGCCTTTGAGAAGTGAGGGCTGAGCAAGGTTGCAGGGGGTGGAAGCGCATGATAGGGGCCTCGTGGGGGAAGGACGGAGGTTCTGGGAGGGATTGGGTTTGGCGTGACAGTTTCTGAGTCCTGTCCCCCCCTCTTGCAGTTTACCAGCAGCCCCAGCCACAGCAGGTGGCTCAGTCCTATGGTGGTTACAAGGAGCCTGCGGCCCCGGTCTCCATACCACGCAGTGCCCCAGGCGGGGGCGGGGTGAGTAGCTCCGGCCAGAGGGAGAGATCCTGGAGCTGGGAGGTGGGATGGGGGTCGGAAGCCTGGGGAGGCCAGAGGTGGATGGGTTCAGGGAAGGCCTCGTGGTCACAGCTCCTAGATTCTCCTTAGAAACCCAACCAGGCGGCTTGGCTTCCCTTGACCTTTGAGCCCAGCTCCTAGTGTCCTCTGCAGGTGATAGGGACCTTAGCCTCTGAGCAGACGCATTGTGGTCAGTACACCGAGCCCTGGGCTGGGGTTGGGGCCCAGCGTTCCAGCTCCGGGTGTAGCTTGCACAAGTCACACACACACACACACACACACACACACACACACACACACCCGCTTAGTTTCCTGTCTCTAGCTTCCCAGGAGCACATGAGGCACCTTTCTGTCTGGGGCCTTCCATACCTTGGTCCTGCTCCCCACTCTTCATGAGGATGACCCCCCCAACATCCTTCAGATCTCAGCTTGCCCCTGCCTCCGAGGGGTCCTCCCAAACACCCCGATGTCAAATGGGTCTCCCCTGACCTCTCTATCACCGCCCCCCCCCGCCCCACTGGTTCCCTTCCAGAGCACTTTTCCCAACTCAGAACTGTTCTGTTTGTTAACTTCTGTGTGCATCCCCTGCTGGATTTGCAGCTCTGTGCGGGCACGGCCGTGTCCTCTTGGTTCATCGGCTCTGAGCCAGGCACAGAGCAGGCACTCAGCGACATTGCCAAGTCAGTGATGAGCAAAGTAGGAAATGGGGCAGGATCAGGCTTACCACCCTTAGACTTGAAGTCCCCGGTCTGTAAACCCTGCTGCCTATCCCACGGAGGGGGCTGCTGAGCCACCCAGCCTGAGCTCCTGGCTGTGCTCAGCTCCTCTGTGCTCGGTTCCTGGGAATTGGAAGTAGTAGCTCATGGAGGAGCAGGAGAGACAATACTTAGAGAAGTAAAATAGCCTGAGATAGGGGTCCTCCTGGAGCCTCATGCCCTGGGCACAAGGGAGTAAACAAGGGATTGTCCATGCCCTGTGGGGTGCTGGGCAGGACCTGAGAAGTCATCTGTAGGATAAGATTCCAGATAGACTAGCCAGTCCTTCACATACTCGCTAAACCTGTTTTGGACACTAGGGGTTTGGCTCTGAATAAAAGACCACCTTCCCGCCATCTTGGAGCTTATATTTCAGTCAGGGAGACAAATAAGAAGGCAATGAACAAGTAGGTGTATAATATTTAAGGTCCGATAGAGGCACATGCTGGGAAGAAAAAGATAGCAGAGTGATGGGAGGGAGAGCAGCAGAGTCCTCAATAAGATGAAAGAGTGAGTGGTTCAGGGAGAAAGCAACTGCAAAGGCCCTGGGGCCAGCAGGAAGGCCAAGGCGATTAGAGGAGGAAGAGGGGAGGAGATAAGGTCAGATCCTGCAGGGGCTCGTAGGCCACAGGAAGGCCTTTGTGATTGGTGAGCTATGCTGCGTGACAGGTTTTGATTTATGTTTTTAAAGGATCACTGGTGGCTCAGTGAGCAGAGGCCACAGAAGGTTGAGGGCAGAAGCAGGGAGACGAGGGAGGAGGCTGTCGCAGGATGCAGGCGTAGCTGGCGGCTGTTCAGCCCAAGAGATAGAGGCAGAGTTGGTGATAAGAGACCAAGGTCACTTCGTGGGGTGGGGTTGACCTCTTATCCTACACATAGCCTTCGGGGCTGATGGAGCTGGTTTCTGCTGCTCGAAAGAAAGTTTGCAATTTGGTGCTGGCTGGCTCAGTCGATAGAGCATGTGACTCCTGATCTTGGGGTCTACGTTAGGTGTAGAGATTACTTAAAAATAAAATCTTAAAAAAAAAAAAAAATTTGGTGCTCAAGAAGGTGGGACACCGCTGAAGGATTTTAAAGCCAGGGAGTAACACGACCAGGTTTGCAGTTTGGAAAGCTCCCCCTGAGATCACAGTGGATGAACGGATCAGAGGCCAGAAACAGAAGGGCTGAGCAGGGGTCCCAGTGGAGTGGAGCCATGGGGGCAGATCTGGGAGGTCCTTGAGGGGCCCCTCCAGTCCTAGACCCATGGGCACACAGATCCCAGGGCCCAAGCTGGGGGACCATGAAGGCTGAGCTGACCCCTGGAGTCAAGTCCATGTAAAGGGCAGCGAGGATGTTAGAGTCTTGCCCACCAGGGGGCCTGGGTGGCTCAGTTGGTTAAGCGACTGCCTTCGGCTCAGGTCATGATCCTGGAGTCCCGGGATCGAGTCCCGCATCGGGCTCCCTGCTCGGCAGGGAGTCCGCTTCTCCCTCTGACTCTCTTCCCTCTCATGCTCTCTATCTCTCATTCTCTCTCTCTCAAATAAATAAATAAATAAATCTTAAAAAAAAAAAAAAAAAGAACCTTGCCCACCTCCAAGACCGCAGGTGGACGGCAGGTGCTTTCCCTGGGCATTTCCCAGGCCAGGGGCTTAAACTTAGGATTTTGGCTGAGGTTGGAGAGTGGAACCTCTTGTGGCCCCTGGAGATTTTTCTCCCCAGACGAAGTCTTTAAAACACGATCAAGCCTTGTATTCACTGGACCTGCTGCATTCCTGTTGCAAGAGGTGGGGCAGAGCGGTGGCAAATCTCAGTCCCTGTCCCAGAGCCTGGCTCTTCAGAGATGCCAGATAGGGCTGGAGAGGGTGATGGGTCTCAGACAGTGAGACCCGGAGGTGAGAAAATTCACGGCAGAGCCTTCCCGGCCCGCCAGCCCCGGGTTCTCTGCTCGGCCGGGCCCCAGGCTGACCGCGCCCCCACCCTTGCAGAAGCGGTACCGCGCTGTATATGACTACAGCGCTGCCGATGAGGACGAAGTCTCCTTCCAGGACGGGGACACCATCGTCAACGTGCAGCAGATCGACGACGGCTGGATGTATGGGACCGTGGAGCGCACCGGCGACACGGGGATGCTGCCGGCCAACTACGTGGAGGCCATCTGAGCCCCCGGCCCCGCCCCGCCCCCGGCCGTCTTCAGTGCATTCCACGCCATTGCATCTGTCCTCGGCGGACCTGTCCACCCTTCAGTGTCTCTGTTTTTTTAAATCTGCGACAGCTTGTTTATTCCCACCCTCCTCCAGCTTCTCTTGCCAACTGAAGCCTTGTTCTGCCACTTTTGCGGGCTCTTCCTCTGGCACGTTTTCCCCTTGACCAACTTCTCGGTTTTCTCTCTGGACGGAACAGGTGTGGAGCTCTGGGGGGGAAGTGGGGGCTGAGGCCCGGGGAGCTGGTCCAGGATTGGAGACCCGTTGGCTCCCAGGCCTCTGCCTTCTCTCTTTCCTGCCCCCTCAGACCTTCCTGCCCCTCCTCACACACCCCAACTTTCCAGGACTCCCAGGGGAGGGGCTCCGTGCATTCCCAGATGGGACCCTACCACCCTCGCCCCTGGGAGGGGCTTTGCCTCTGCTTCTCAAAGACAGGGCTGCCGGCCCTCCGAGGGGGCCCCTCACCACCCTCTCCCACTCTCAAGGACCACAGAGGAGGGTAGAGTTCCCGCGTTGGGATTCATTCGTCCCTCCCCACATGTGTTCCTTCTCACACTGTGATTTCGCTCTCCTGCCCACACAGAGCGGTGTGGGCGAGGAGCTCCCCAGGAAGCACGGCTTGAGTCAAGTGCTCTCGCCTTTCTTACTTTTAGGGACGGCTGCAGGAAGGAGGGGAACGGGGTGTTATCTCCCACAGCCCCTTTCCTTCCTCCTCTCCCCAGTCCCCAGGCGCTCCGGCTGTCTCCTGAACCACGAGCCAGCCCCCCTGAGCTCTGGGTTAGGTGGGCCACCCCCCCTCCTCCCCATGGGAAGATGTCTCAGGCCTCCCACAGCCGCCCCTCCTCGGCCCACAGCCAAGTGGACTGGAACTGTGCAAAGCCACAGGACCTCTCTGTCTCCAGGACTCCGCATGTGGGGAAGGAGCTTGTCTGTATCTGTGACAGGCTAGTGGCAATGAAGCAGTCAGGGTCCAGGCCTGTGGGAGTCTCTGGGAGGGCCCCAGGGGAGAGACGTCCCTTGTGGTTTCTTTGGTGTGAAAATTCCTCCTTTCCTTCGATTGCCAAACGGCGGAAGCCCACCCACCCCCCCTTCCAGTGTGCCGGGCAGAGGTAAAGGGGGGTGGTTGTAGAGTGGGTGGGGCTGATGTTGGGGCCCACAGCTTGCTGGGGTGAGGGTGGGGGCAGGCTTCGTGGCTCTAGGCCTATTCTTTCCCTCCCAAATCAGTGCCCCGGGCTTCAGAGGAGGGCATCAGACCACCCTGTGTCACCCACACTGGGGGTGCCTCACCGCTCCCCGGCCTCCCCCTCGCTAACCTCAGGCCCCTTGAAGCAGAAGGAGAAGGTCCCAGGGCTTCAAAACTGGAAGCACAGACCCCGGGATGAGGAAGGGAAAGATGGTGCTATCTCCAAGTCCCTTCTCGCTCGTTGGCAGCTGTGACGACCCTTGCTTGGCTTTGTTCATCTCTGGGCTCTCTCAACACCCCTCTGGGCCTCCCCCTCCTGTCTTCACCCCAGGCTCCCCAGCAATCAGGTCCTCACTGCTTGGGGGTTGATGGAATATTTTCCCCAAATCAGAAGGATGGAGAAAGGACTGTTGGCGGGGGCGGGGGAGCCCCCTGCCCGACCCATCTCCCTCCTCTGGCCCCGGCCGAGGTGAAGGCAGGTGGAGGGTCTTTATTGTTGGACGGTTTGGGGGATGAGGGAGGCAGAAAGGAAACAGTTTGGGGAGCTTTGGGGGAGGCAGCAGTCCACTACCTTTCCTCTTGATCTCAAAGCACAGCTTGGATTTGGGGACCAAAGGTCAGAGACGGCTCTTGGGGGAGGATCTGCTGGGAGTGCGGAGCGTGATGGGAGGGAAGCCTAGAGGAGCAGGAGGCGGCCTGTTTTCCCTTCGCTTTGTTCTCTTCGAAAACAAGGCAGGCCAGCCACTGGGACCTTGCTGCCGGCCCCTCTGCTGCTCCCATCCTAAAAACAGGGGACTTTTTCTTATACACCCCCAGAGAGAAGGACTGTCAGTCACACTGGTGCTGAGGGACCCAGGGGCTGCTAGGCATCCTTGCTTCTTTCCAGAACCATCCAACCCTACAAGAGCACAGAACCAAGGGTTGGGCCGAGTCCCTGGCCTTTTCATACAGTTCGCAAAGGTCTTTGGCCAGTCTAATCCCAGGAAAGATGATGCATCAAAGCTAGAATGTGAATATAACTTCAGTGGACCAATAAGAAAATACAAGAAGCCCAGTGGTGAGAAAAGTGAATTCTGTCACACTGCTTCCTATTTTCTTCCTCATGTCCCTCCAGGGAAAATGACCTTACTGCTTCATTTCTGCCTTTTTCCTCCCACATACGCACTTTTGGGCCTTTTTTTTTTTTTTTTAATAGCTGGAAAAAAAAAATACCACCCCACAAACCTGTATTTAAAAAGAAACAAATGACCATGTGAAAATTGCCTCTGTCCAAACATTTCATCCGTGTGTGTGTGTGTGTGTGTGTGTGTGTGTGTGTGAAGCCGTCGGTTCTTTTTATATGGGGTGGTTGTCTTTTCTTGGTCTGTTCTGGTCCCCTCCCTCGTGGGCTTGTGCTTGGGATCAACTCTTTCTGGCCTGTTAATGATTCTCAACATTTGACTTGGACCACAAGTGAATCTTTCTCCTGGTGACTCAATAAAAGTATAATTTTTACCTGTGGACTTGGTTTTCTCCCTGGCTCTGAAGTGCTGTGTGTGCGCGCACCAAGTGTTCGGGGCATCAGCCGGGCACCCTCCCGAACCCAAGAGCCCTGCTGCCCTTCAGGGAGAGAATGACCAGTTTGAAGGCTGTCAGCCTGGAGCAGAAGTTGGCTCTGCAATGGGGACTCGGCACCTCCTTCTCACGGAGAATTCTTCCTGCCACTCTGCACCTGCCCAGCCTGGTGGCACTCCCGGACACGTACCCGAGCTCCTGGATTTCCCTCTTCCTGTCTGATTTCCCTGGTTAACACCTGCCTCCCCGCTAGCCAGGGCCGTCACAGGGCAGGAATGGGTCGAAGTCCTCGAAATCCCAGTGCCTGCCCTGGGCCAGGCCCATCGCTGCTCAGCAAGGATGTGTTGACTGATGCAGGAGACCGGCCCGGGGGCACTTTTAGCCGCCCCCCCTGCTGCTGCCTGGCGCGCAGGAAGAGCGTGGCGCAGTATGAGGAATGAAACGACGGGGTCAGTCTGGGTGGGCTAAGACGGGAGGAAGCCATCCTACCAGCCCAAAGCAGTATGCATCAGCCGAGGACCTACAGCCATGTCTGTCTCATGGATGGGGTTCTGAAACCCGGGGAGGCCGTGATTTGGTGGAAGTTGCACAGCCGGTGTGGCCCGGCCTGAGGGCTTAGGACCCGCAGTGCAACGCTCACAGCCTCACGCCGCGCTGCCTGGCCACGGTGGGCCCTGCGCCCCTGCCCTTTGCACCTCACGTCTTTGTATCCCCCCCACCGGCCTTTTGCTCCAGCTGCCCTGGGTCCGACTTCCCACCAGAAGGCCAGGTGGCCTCCCCTCTTCTGCAGGGTTGGGAAGGGGACAGTGGTAGAGAAGGAGTCTGGAGCCTTCCCTCCCAGGCCCATGTCTCCTGTCCAGCTGCTTTGTGCAGAGGGGCACTTCCCACCGGGGGCTAAGCAGGAAGGCCGTGGCGGAGTTGAAAGGGGCCCTCCCTGAGCCTTGGTCGTGGAGAGAAGGAAAGAGGTGGGTCTGCAGGGCTGGAGCGGTGTAAGGAGGTGTCAGAGGCTCGGGGGGGGGGCGGGGGCGATCGCTGAAGACAGTACCAACACCCGCTCCCTCTCCGAAGGAACAGGCCGCCTGGTATTTTCCCAGCAGAAGGGAATGAGTTGGTAAATCTTGCCTCCTGTTGGCCTGCCCCCTTTTGTCGGCTGAGGGGCAGCCCTCCCTCCCAGGAGGCTTCATTCACCAGAGCGACTGGAGGGGACAGTCGGCTCGGGAGGGAAGCCCTCCCGCTCGCAGAAAGCTCTGGGCTCTAACCTCCTGGGCATGGGCCAATGGGAGCAGTTTCTAGACCCCCTTCTAGAAGGGCCCTCAGTTCCCGCAGCCTAGCATGTGGAAGGGGGTCACCCGTGCCCTCTCCCCCCCGCCACGTCCCCCAGGGCCTTCAAAGGAACTCTTTAGGGTGGAGCCAAGGACACCAGCCCTCAGAGATGTCACAGGGAGTATTTTTAATTTAATAGGGAATGATTAAGACACAAAAAGGCATAAAACAACACAAGACATAACCAAGTACCCACCACCCAGTTAAAAAAAATAAAACATTAATTCTCCTTTGCCCTCAGAAGCCATCTCTTGAATTTGCATATCTAGGCACTCTCCCCTCCCAGCGACAGCCCTGGGAGTTGATAGTGCGCTCTCTGGATAGGACGCTGTCCCCAGCTCTCCGAAGAGGACACACAAGAGAACAAGAATGCGGGTCCTGACCACAAAGAGACAGGGAGTAGCTGGAGGAGAGACCCCTGGCCCTCCCACCGTACACGGAGGGATTTGAGCCGTGCAGGGAGGGCGAGGGGCGTTTCAGGCGCAAAGGGTGGGCCAGTCGGGAGGCGAGAGAAGAATATGGTCTCCAGAGTGTGTAAGCCTAGTTTTCCATCTTGGTCTCCCCCACTTCCAATGAAACATCAGGCAAGTTCCTGACCAGCTCTGAGCCTCATCTGTAAAAGACTTGTAGAGAGGTTGAAATTACAGCCCGTGTGCAGTATCTGGCACAGTACCGGGATCCCACGAGCGTTTGCTCCAACCCCAGAGAGGCCAACTGGGGCTCTCACGAGACGTCTATGTCCCTCCATAATAACTTGACCTTTACAACCTGCCCATGGCCCACCCAACTCCCAACCATTATTTTTATGAGAGAATTTGCTACCGATGTGTTAGAGGACAAAGGCGGTGAGGAGGATTCATTCCTAGGGGATCCGGATAGAGATCAGATCTCCTCCTACGTCCCTATCGTGCAGGCTCCATTTAGATACGAAGGGGTGGGATTGGGTTCCTGGGGAGAAATTGAGCCTCTTCTCTTCTGCCGGGTCTAAATCCTGCAGTGCCTTGGTTACCCGCTCCCGGGCTTTGTGATTGGTTGGCTGGGGTTGGGGGCGGGGAGGTGGAGAAGGCTGCTGATGGAGCTGCAGCATCCCTTAGTCTCGGGCCCTGGGAGGGGGAAGGGAAGAGACGGAGCAGTGGAGGGAAGAGGGAGCCATTTCTCTCCACTGGCTGCAACCTCCGTGCTCACGGCTCACGTTTGCCCGGCATCCAGAGGCTTCCTCGGCCAAGGACTCCATGATGCTGGATATTTTCATCCTGATGTTCTTTGCCATCATAGGCCTGGTCATTCTGTCCTACATTATCTATCTGCTCTAGTGGCCGGCTGCTGCGTCGGGGAGCCCTCAGAACAGCTCAGGATGAAGCGGGCTGGCCGAGCATCCTGCTTTGCTGACGCACCGGTGGATTTTTGCTTCTGGTCATTATTTCGGGTATTGATTCAAAAACAAAATTGAAAGAGATCTTATTATCCTATCCTTTTTTTCCCCCCCCTCAGGTGCATTCATAGAGCCTTTCTCAGACCACTCGGCAAAGAATAAGAAATGCCAACTTCTTTCTTTAAGACCTAATTTAAAATAACGATTTTTTTTTACAACGAAAAATAAAACCCACAATGCAAAGGATTTTTAGATAGAATGGGTTGGGAGTCGTGTGCTTGGGGGGAGGGACTATTATTTCCTAGTATTTTCCTTCAAATTAGGTGCTCAGACTCCAAGTTGTCTTTTTTCTCCCCCCTCTTGGTAATTAAAGGTAAAACACATCTGTATATATCAGCAGAGTGGTTTGCAATTATGCTTCCATAGTTGCATTAATTAATCAGTGGCTCATTTTCACTTGAAGATGAAGTAGCTAATGAAATGTACTGGGGAGTGGGGTCTGGGGGAGACGTCCATCCTTTCCCAGCTGTGGGGTTTGGTGGTGAGGAGAGAGGAACGAACTCATTTGTTGGTCCATAGCCAATACAGGGTTGCTGAAAGCGTCACCGCTATTCCCATCTGAGCCTTGTTTCTCGGTTTCCCACAGCTCCTGGTCTCCAGTCCAACCAGAGGCCTCTTAGCAGCAGCAACCGTCCTGCTGCCCAGCAGACCTCTTCCAGAGCCTTCCGGATATGGTTAACCACTGGCGATCAAGGGGCTTTTTGAGCTCCGAGGCAGAGGCCCTCAGCTGGGACCTCAGGAATTCGTGGGCATGCCTGGCAGATGCCGTGTGCGTTCGAGCTGTATGTAGATAGAGGGTGTTGAGGACACAGAGCTGAAATGTAGACTCATTAAAGTTACCATGGAGAACTGGTCAAATACTCATCTTGACAGCCTTTCTTTAGGTATAAGTGCAACATATGATGCTAAAATATGTTCTTTCCTTTCCCTCTCACACGCAGGGGGTCCCTTGTAAGTTCAAGAGCACATCTATCTTTGTCTACGAAGTGGTCACCTTGTCACTGTCTTACAGACTGCAGTGTGAGCTTGTATGGTGGCCCTTTTGTCTCGCTCTCCAGCCAGAAGGAACTTGTCATTGGAATTTTTAAGATTTATCATATTTTTTCCCACTCCATACCCCACCTTCTCATTTCAAGAGAGAAATGGTTATATGGTCCTCATTCTTTGTGACTGGCTGAATTGTAAATTATTGAAATAGGGTAGTTATACCTCATCTTACTTGTTATTTGGGGGGGAAAATCTCTTACTCCCAAATAAATGTTTTTTATGTTGTCAAGTGTTCCTTGTCTGTAAAAAAAAAAAAAAAAACCAAAAACCTTTCAACATTTTTTTTGGGGGGGGTCCAATTAGGGTTGAGGAAACCATATATTGTGGAATTCAGAGTAGACGTGGGCCCCAAATCTGTGGTAACTGTTCCATTGAAAAGTCCATCATAATTGTTCTACATTTGATTTGCCTTTCTAGCTTAAAAATAAACAATGAGAAAGATTAACTTAATAGTTTTTATTTATATTGTATTCAATTTCCATGTCTTAAAAAGAAGTAAAATTGAGGCACTACAATATATGATCCAGTTAAAATGGAAAACTTGCATGTTAAAATTCTGGCCAAGAAAAAACACTGCTCTAGAAGCATTATCTTGGTAACAAATGAATGACCTTCATAAGTCATTTAACCTTCAGGGCTTCTGTTTATTCTGACAAATGAAAAGGTTGGACTACAAAATAATTACTTGTTTACTATGTTATTATTTATTAAATTTTAACTTAATTTTAATTTTAAAATTCCCCTTTCCATTTTAAAATTCTACAATTCTAGGGGTGCCTGGGTGGCTCAGTTGTTAGGTGTCTGCCTTCAGCTCGGGTTGGAGTCCCAGGGTCCTGGGATCAAGCCTCGCATCGGGCTCTCTGCTCCGCGGGAAGCCTGCTTCTCCCTCTCCCACTCCCCCTGCTTGAGTTCCCTCTCTCGCTGTGTCTCTCTCTGTCAAATAAATAAAATAAAATAATCATTTAAAAAAATTCTACAATTCTAGGATGCATTATCTTTGGAAACCACACCTTTGAGAGAATTCCTATGGAACAAACTTTTAATAGTTCACCTTTTCTGCTCTCTCCACATGACATTTTATAATGAAAACTCAATTGCAAAACTCTTTTTTTTTTTGGCACCACCAACCACACTGTGAGGAGAA